ATATATATATATATATATATATATATATATATATGTGTGTGTGTGTGTGTAATTTTACATTGTATATATAATTTTGTAATTTCACATATACAAATTAAAATTAAGCTACCATTAATATAATAAAGATTACATAATTAAAAAAGGCTACATAATTAAAATAATAATTAATTTTGTTGACTATCATGTCTAAAACCATCCACAATAAGCTTTAAAAAGTATATTTAAAGTTGATGATCATGTTATCTATCACAAATAACTGTTCACTTCTAAGTATGGTGTAAGATTTGAATGAAAACCGTATATTAACTATTGAAGTATCATTATTGGAATGATTATAAGAAATTCATCCCAAACCATAGATTAGTGTTTTAAAACTTGAAATAATGATCAACTGGATTAAAATATTGAGTCAATGGATCAATGATTGAATTAATGAGTCATTTTAATTGAGTATATAATTAATTTTATAATTTAAATAAATGATATACACAAAAAGTATAAATTTCATAATAACAATTAAACATCTTAGCCTTGTGGTTACAAATCTTCCAAACTTTTCATAGCATTTGAGTTCAAGTCCCACTTAAGAAATGGTAGAGCTCCCAACCTTATATAAGTGAGCTCATTGAGCAATGAACGTACATTCCTCCTTCAACTGCGTAATCGAGCACCAATTTTATCGGTTTATCAAGAAAATCGATCGTGTTAAAACATCCATATATAGTAACATATTATTGTTGATGCTCAGTTTTTAACATTCAGACTTTCAATTCCAACGATCATAATTTATGAAAATTGGATGAATTTCAACTCTAAATGTCAAACTTCCTTTCATTCAATTCTTGTTAATTTATTTATTTTTCTGTTACGTTATTTCTTTTTAATACGTTGGATCCACATTTGCTTTTTGGAGCAATATATATATGTCATACGTGTTTTTTTTCCCACTTATTACGTACATGCATTTTATAGCCATAAGTTCATTCTTATATTATAAATTTACATATTTATTGGTGAATGAGAGCATTTTTATGATTTATTTTATATCATTCCTTTGAATTTTTGCTATGTTAAGTATAGTTTTTAATTATTTTTTTCATTCTTCTCAAAATTAATCAATCTCGGTTTAAATTTTAATTTGGATGCAATATATCAAGTTATAGATATAAAAATTAAAACTATGTCTTAATTCAGATAATTTATTCTCATATTTCTCCTTGATCAATTTCAAAAGTTTTATCTCCTTAACTTAATTATTTCTATTTAGCAAATTAAAATAAAATTATCATTAATTACTGTTTTGTCATTTTTTTAAGATATTCAATTTTATCATTATTTAGTAATAATAATTATTATTATAATTTTATCTCTTACTTTTTTCCTTTAAATTTGATTCAAACTTAAAATAACACATATTTAACACATAAAAACTTTCTATAACTATACATCAATGTTACATCACGGGCTTAACACTTGATTAACACTTTACTAGATATTTATTCTGTTTTCTGAACATACACGCACACCTCCAATAGGAATGTAAGGTGTTATCGTATCTCTGTTCCATAAATTGATGGAGTTTGTGCTTTTGTTTGGTATAAGAATTAGTGAATTACTCTCTATATATATCCGTATCCACCAAGTGTCAACCTCCATGCTCATCCCACGTGGTATGTATTCCCCTATCCAACATTAAAGACAGATTCTTAATGTATTCCAATATCATTATATATTAATTTTAAAAAGTTAACAAAATGATGTCACATAATATGCTAGTGTTAAATGAAAAATGATATTATAATTAGATCCGATTCATCTGAACATCACAAAACTATATAAAAAGTATTATTTTTTTTTTAAAAAAAATCTCTCTATGCCAATCAATAAGATCTAGTTAAATATTTAAATTTATTTTTTATTCATAAAAACTTAAACTCCTTGCCACTTACTTCTTACAAGTGTTGCTATCCAAAATATTTAGCGTCGAGTATTTAAGAATTTGTGGTAAAGTTGACATTCTTCACGCACCATCAAACCCACGTAATCAACGGTATTTTTCATCCACATGAACCACCTCATGCTCCCCCTCTAATTTTGGTGGTCCCATGATTTAGTGTTTGGCTTATCTTCATGGCCTAGTAGATTCTTTGTCACACACAAGTAGCCACCTATACTAATTAGCGACTAACACACCACACAAGTCCCTCTCAAATCAAGGATATTTTGGGCATCAACTCGTGGAAGAACCTTCAACCTTTTCACCCCTTCCTTCTTTAGGATACCAAAATAATTAATGTATCACTCTAACTCTCATCACTATATATGTCCTCACTCCCCACATGTACAACAACAACACAAACCCCTCAACCTTAGGTACGTGCGCACCAACTTCCTCTAATTTCCCATCTATTTTCTCTCTTATTTCTCATACAATTACACTTTATAAGCACCAAACCATATATATCACACATTTAACCACGTACATAGAAAAATATACATACACATACACATATACATATATAGCTAGCTAGATATATGGATCGCATAACAAAGTTGGCATCACAAAAAGCTGTGGTGATCTTCAGCAAGAGTTCATGTGGGATGAGCCATGCAATTAAGAGGCTGTTTTATGAACAAGGTGTGGGGCCCGCAATTTGTGAGCTAGATGAAGACTCAAGAGGGAAGGAAATGGAATGGGCTCTTATGAGACTTGGATGCAACCCTTCTGTCCCTGCAGTGTTCGTTGGAGGCAAGTTTGTGGGTTCGGCCAACACAGTCATGACCCTTCACCTCAATGGCTCACTCAAGAAAATGCTCAGAGATGCTGGTGCTTTGTGGCTTTAGAAACTTATTAACCTCACAAGTACTATGACATAACGTACCATGTCACATTCTAGGGCAATGCAAACAGCTAGCCAAACACGGCCTTAACAGAAAGCTAGTTTAGCTGTATTGTAATATCATAACCTAGTTTTTTTTTTCATCTTTTTAAATTTGAGTATTGGCGGCTTTTGGAATCTACATTGTACTAGAATAATATCTAGAGATGTGCTCCAATATAATCTTGAGTTCTACAACTTTTTCTGGGTACACTAATTGTTTAATTAATATATATTTATGATATGCTTGGAACAACTTTATTTAAAAGTTCTAAAAATATCGGTGGTAATAAACTAATATTTTTTTTATAATAATCGAAAAGTGCATGCAATGTTATGGAGTGAGACATATATTGATCAAAATCTCAATTTCTGTTTGTTTTGTGTGTTTCTTTGGTACTTAATATTCAGAATGCGTTATATATACTTTTAATATTTTCTTCGAAGTACTGCATTATACTGACAAACTTTATTGCTAATACAGTTTTGTGGACTAAATATAAAAACAATCGTGAAATATTGTACTGATATGAACGGACTGCAACGAAAATTGTGGGAGTTGTGATGATGATTGTGACTTACGTATATGAGCATCCATGCATGCCCATTAATTTTAAATTTCGACAAGTTTTATGGGGGAGCACGTGGCTCAAAGATGACATGTTTCTCGTCTTTGTCATTTCGAAAGAAGGATATATTCCTTGATTGATATATGCATATAGAAATGGATAAATTTCCCATCGAATAGAAATATTCTTATCGTAGTGTTGTTCCATCAGCATGTGTGGCCCTTCAATATGCTTATCGGTGTATATATAATGATTTTTTAAATTATGGAATTTTTTTTATCATTTTAAGGAGATTTTAAATCATTTTTTTTTATATCAATTTTGTTCTATTTTTAAAAATAAATGAATTCAGGAATATTATAATAGCTAGAAGATGTTATATATATATATATATATATATATTAATTTTAATTATGATTTCTATTTATTTTCTTATAATTTGTATTTATTTTTAGGTAATAAAAAAAAATTAGAACTTTAATGAATAAAAAAAGGTCAACAATACAGCCTAAAAGAAATCCTTTCAAAGTTTGGGGTTTGTCTATAGTATGAGTTATTTGACCCACATATATATAAAAGGATAATAAAAATGATTATTAGACTTTTTCTTTCATTCTCTAATTTGAGTCGTTATCTAGGATTTTTCCTCTCACACTCTCTCATGCCTTCCATGTTTCCTCACTCATTCTTTCTATCACATTGAATTTTCATCTTTCCTTTTTTTGTTTTAATCTTTTGTTATATTTTATTTTTATATATATGTCCAAATAAATTATTTTTTGTTGGGATTAGGTGGATATATATCTATGTAACTTATGGATTCTTGAACTGAAAAATTTAATGAATTGTTTTTCTCTATTTGAGTTTTCTTTTCCTTAATACTTCTTATTATTAGTTCTTAAGATTTGATCACTCTAATATATTTCAGTGAATGAAATTTTGCTCTATAGAGTAATATCTTGGAATAGGGGTCGACATTGGAATGCTACTCACTATATACCATTAGGAGTTTCAAAATGTTTATTCCCCTTTAATTTTCACCTGAGGAAATTAGGGTTATTAATTAAGGTGTACAATTATAATCACATTTTATCTATTAAATTAATGCATCTTACTTTAATAAACAAATATAACACTATCAATATAGAGTATGAAAAAGGCTTTAAGACATGTAATTAATAAGGCATGACTTGTCTACAAAGCAATAATTGAGAGCACATAATGACAATACAGATTTATTAGTAGGCCAGGACAAGCGATTTTCAAATTGTATTGATGATGGCTTTGACTGTTGAGAGATTCTGAAATATGAAACAACAACGTGCATGCATGAATTACGAAATTAGAATGAAATAGTTTCCTTCACGCGCGTGATTATAATTATCCCTTTTTGTTAATCACATATGAAGATCCTATATATATAGACGTAAATATATTATATTCTTTTTATTCATCACGTTTAAAGAAAAGTTTTGTTTATATTTTTTATCATTATAAAACTTTAAGTAGTATTAATTACTACTTACTCAATTGTATTCTTACAAAAAAAAAAACTGAAATAAAATTATATGAAATATCAAAATAAAAAATAAATGATGTATTGACAAATTATAAATAAATTTAATAAAAATAGAAATATTAATCACTTTTTATTTATTTGTGTGTCATAAGTTAAAACCTTAAAATATATCTCCTTATCAAACTTTTTTTTTAAATGATATATAAAATTATGAAAGAATTAGGCAATAATTTATTTATAAAATTTAAATTAAAATATAAATAAATGTTTCACTGACTCTTGGTTTTACCAATGTGGTCACTATTCTTTTTTCTTTTTCCATGATGACCGGATAAATTTGAAGTGTGAAATCTATACTATTTGAGTATATCAAAATGTGCTAGTTACATTCACTCTAATGTTCTCTTTCAAATGCTTTATCTCTGAATGATTAAAAAGCATATTTTGATGATAGACGATCGCTATTAAACTAAGATAAAAACTTGTTAAATAAGATATCAAAACAATAAAATTTATAACCTTTAATAAATTTTAATTAATAATAAATAGTGTTAGTATATAAATAAATGTTAGATGGATTGTTATTATACTATATATATAAAAATGATTTTCTATTTTTGCATACATAATTTTTTAATTGCTTTATTCTTAAATTTTTAAATAAAAAATACTATTAAAAATTAATTATTATCTTTACAAATTAAAGACTTAAATCCAAAATCTTAAAATTTAAAACTAAATACGACACTAATTGATTGAATAAATATTAATAATTTTTATATATTTTTATATATTTTTAAATAAATATAGAGATGGGAGTCTCATCCCCATTAATATACATAATATCATTTATAAAATTTCTTAATTCAAGTTGCTACCAGCTAATTGAGTCACATGCATATATACCAATGATCCAATCATTTTATTTTGGCAGAAAAATAAAAAGAAAATGTCATTATATGACGACCTGTAATAGAATAATAATGTGATAAGGGTGTGAATATTTGGTTTGATATGGAACAAAAAATGACTTATTTGCTAGAGTAGTCAATTAGTAAATGGAAGGAAAGAAATGTTGGAAACCGATGCAATATTTATTCCATTTAGCGTAAGCTTACGTAGAGAGATGACCCTGTCTTACGTGAAATGTACCATATATCTCTTTCGACTGTGCTGGAACCATCATACATATAATTATATAAAGAGGATGGCGAAGGCCAACTTGGGCATCATATTAGGGTTCATCACGGACTTAATTAGACCATCTTCGATACATGTGCTTCTTAAAGGAACTCAATTTTTTAAAAAACTTGTATAATTGTATGGTATTTTTATATTATTTTAAAAATAAATTAAAATTAGAATTATATATATATATATATATATATATATTTAATATTAAAACAAAAATGTTGATATGATTATAAAGTTTTTTGAATTTGGTAAAGGCATAGGTCGACGTGTTGTCACTTAAGGGGCTTGGGTCTTAACAACCAACCCGATCACAACACCTTGTTACCACATATATTATTTTACGTCCTTTACATAAACAAATGGGTATATTTTTCTAATCTTAACTTTAAGAAGAATATATAGAGTCAATTTAAAATGTATTAATTCTTAAAAAAATTATATTTCTATTTTATTGTGAAGTCGTGGTTCTTGTATAAGTGAATGACATGCAATTGGTACATTTAAATTAAATTTGGGAAATTAATTTTAATAAAATAAATAAATTTTTGGTTTTAATATTTGTAAAATATTTGTCTTTGATTTTCATTTCTATAAAATCTAAAATTACTTTTTTTTCTCTAATCATGATTTTAAGATATATAAATAAGATTTATTTTTAAGAACTTGTGAAACTTTTTAAATATGTTACATAATAATATAGTATTACTAACAGTTCTAGGTAATACTTGAAATAATAAGTTAACATTTTAATAAACAAATAAATAGTTAAAAATAATTATATAATAATGGAGACTAAAAATAATGATTCTAAATTTCAGATAATAGAAAATAAAGAAAAAAATTTACAAGTATTTTTTATAGATACTAAAAACAAATTTAAATTTATTCATTAATATTTTTGGAAAAATTATTCCTTAAATTATAAATAATATTATGAAATTTAGTTAATACTTAAATCATTTAACTCTATAAATGATTTTGAAATAAAATTTAAATTTAAGTCATTATTAATTAAAATTAAGTAACTTAACATATTATTAGTCTTGATAAATTAAGTATTTATTTTTTATATAAAGGATCAAAGGTTGTATGATATATATATATATATAT